CAGCGATACGCAGCACTGTACATGACGGAGTACTCTGGAGTTTGGGGGCCTAAACATGCCCGGCTTGAAAGCTGCCGGCATCATGGTATGATGTTTTATACCGTGTACACCATGTCGGTGATTGTTCGTATGGGTTAATTCACACTGTATTTAGCATTTGATTGATCGGAAAGAATAGATTAGTTGAAATGCTTCGTGTGCCTGGTGATATGACGCGACTCGTGTTCTCAGGTTGCCCCCCCCCCCCCCGCTCCCTCTCGATTGGCAAGCGCATCAAATCAAGGATTTCGACGCTCAGGCAACTTGCATCGAATGTAAGAGAACCCTAATACGGCACTGGGATCTGCGTCATGTCATTCGATGCAGTGCTGGGGCTCTCGACCTGTGTACCTCCAATGCGTCCGGGACAGGCAAACGAGGACAACACGGGCCGAGGCGGGGAGTGCGGGGCGGGCCCTGATCGACATGATTTCTTCCGACATCTCCGGCTGGGCCAGGGATCGCTTCATGTTGCTTCATCCACAGCACTTGACCTTTTCAAATTTGCATCATTTCAACGCAACTAGCCCCTTCTGTGGTTACATTCTCCCCAAAACCTGCAGCAGATTGTACAATTTTCGCATTCCCTCGAGCCTCGCGCCCTTGGACAGAGACCGTGTTCACGGAGTAACCGTGATGAGGGTCCGGGCGCCGCACCCTTTCCTCTTGTTGTTTTTGGCCAGCAACAGCGTCGTCGAAGGAACAATGAAGTGGAAGAATCTCACGAGGCCGACGCCCAATGTCCCGCTAGCGCCCGTACCACTTCCTGAGCCTGGGGCTGCCCGGGATGGCGCGGAGATTGTGAAGCAGTTGACGGGGTTGTCTCGGTCGGGTTTGAGTGGTGGCCAGGGTGCGAGACTGGATCTCGTCAAGGTTATTGAGCTTGAGGGGGAGTTATGGGAGCCGGAGGGAATTGTGAGGCTTGCGGGTGGTGATATGGAGGGGAATGACAGAGAACGAGATCCAGTAGACGTTGATGATGAGGAGAATGGTGATGAGGAAAGGTTTTGGGTTTCGGCAGGGGAGTATACCGTCCCGACGGAGAAGTATCCTGACGGAAAATGGATTGATGGGACGGATCGGAGTGCCGGGGCGGGCTTTGCGCATTTCGTGGTGTTTGACGGGCGCGGAAGACGTGTTGGGGACTGGGTTGTTTCCGAGGAAGGGGACTTGGAGGTAAATCTCGACTCAGATATTCTTTTCACCCCAGTTCTCTCTTCTTTAGGGGCCTGTGTCACTTTGCAGCCCCCTTGAAGTCAGACGGATGGCTAACGAAGGATGTAGTATCATAACGGAGGGATTGATTTTGATGGGCGACATATTTGGGCTACGCTCTCGCAGTACCGACCGAATTCGACGGCAACAGTGGTGAGGGTTGATCCGGTCAGCGTGGAAATGGAGAGGGTCTTCCAGGTGGCGGATCACCAGGGTGGGATCGTGCATGATGTCCACAATGGGACGTTGACGACATTGGGGTGGGGTGGGAGAGTTGCGAGGAGATGGGATATCAGCCAGGCCGGGATGACATGGGAGGGCGAAACTGGCGGTGGGATAGGAAAGGGGAAACAGGCTCAACTTGGCAAACGGGGTGAAGTGGATTACAATGGGGAAGTCGACGGACCTCAGACAACAATCGTGAATCCTTCACACTGGATCGATTACCAAGACTGTAAATCTCTCGGCATCGTCGACGGGAGGCATCTGATGCTTTGTTCCGGCATCGCGATGCTGGCGCCGGGGTTGGAGGTGGGTGGGTTGGCGATTGTTGAAGTGGAAGGGATGGTTCCTTTGTGGGAGGTGCCGTTCATGGAAAGAACAGGGGTTATGCCGTGGACGGGGGATGAGGACCACATAGAAGCGAGCATGGGGAGGAAGAGCGTGTTGATGACGAAGAACCCGATGGATGTTGCTGTCGTTGGGGGACGAGTGAGGCTGTATTTTGCGCCGGAAGAGGGCAAGAGTAGAATTTTTGTTTATGAGGTACGTGAGGGGTGATTTGTGAGGACGTTGTGCGCGTGCTTGGTGTGGTGTTCACCTTGCCAAAACTCTTCACAGTTGTTTTAGATGGGGAATGAGAACCGTCGGGTTGTTCATATGTATCCTTATTTATGTCTGATTGGCAATTAGCCATGATGAGCAACTGTTCCGTTTTCATACGTAGGCTTCACAGAAGTTCTCATCAATGGTGTCTCGCGCTGCTCTATTGGTGCTCAATGTACGATGTAGACGAAATAAACGTCGTTTTCGCACTGAGGCTTCCTATTCATACTTGCTACGTAAAGATTTGGAGGACGTATTCATCGTAGGTGTCTATGGATGGTCGCCAGGGTACCCGGCGAAATGGAGAGGATACAGGATGCTAATGAACTCTGATCCTTGGTAAACTACGCTCGCAAAGTTGTCAAGCTTGGTCGTTCGGGAAAGTTTTGCTGCACGAAGATGTCCCTCGAGGCCGTCAATGGGTTCGTTGCTGTTGCTGACTGTGAGAGGGACAGACGCTTCGGGGAAGTTTGAGATGATTGAAGAGTCTCAGATGTCGTCCTGCTGACGAGCGAAGTGGACGTCGTGGTGGATGTCAGATCCTCAAAGAAGATGGAGCGTCAGACCACGCCTAAAGCTGTCGAGGATGTGGGATGTAGACACACGAAGGGAGGAAAAGGACAAGCTTTGTGACTCAAAACATGCGCAATTTCAAGCAGACCATCTGTGAGATGACGCTTAGTTATGTTGCCATTGACTCTGCAACATTCGTGCTGCCAAGATCTTTCCGTTTGTGGCATGTAGAATTGACAAAGTCAGGGTTTAATGCGTTAATAGATATACGTGTCATTGCATTCTGGCTCATGTGCTCGTGCGGACATGGAACCATACAGAATGAGAGATCCATTCGGCCGAACAAATTTCCAAAATTTTGGATTATCCCATGTCGTAAACAAGCCGACTTGATTGAAGAGCAGGGAGCAAGGGAGATGAACACCCCTGGGTCCTCCAGAAAATGCTAGTCGACCTTCCTATGAAGCAACGGCATGTTTAAGAAAAGGCTGCTTTTTTTTTTCTGAGACTGTATCTTGACTCTCATATGCATGTTCCGCGAGAGCCCTCAGAATCTGACACGCAAAATGATCACAGGCTGAAGCATCACTCAGCACAGATCGCCATAGCATCTTATCCTAATCACACATTCCTGTTCAGAGAGTTGCGGCTCGGGCCGTCGGATGAGTTGATCTACCAGCATTCACCCAGTTTGAGAAAAGCTGTCGGTATTCCCTGGGAAGAACAAGAAGAAGGAATAATACCTGGGATGCGTGGGTCTTGGCGCCTTCATATGAGCTTGTTTCTCTGGTTGACCATGTTGATGTGCGTCGTAGCACGGCGTGGGCCGCAGGTGCGCTTGCGCAACATCTGAGGGAAAGGTGAACAGGGCACACGGATGGAGCCTTTTGGCATCTTCCGAATACGATCCAGAGAGGCCTGTAACTTGATGCACTCGTGTCCCCATCCTGTGCACTAGCGCTACTCTCTGCGATTCGGCCCGTCTGGGAAACGCCTTGATGCCTCGACTTAGCTTCCTTTTATTTATTTCTCCTCCCTGTTCTATTTCTTTTTCAATCAATCATTACTTGTGCCAATGGAGGGTCTAGCACGAATGCAGCCGAACCGAAAGAAGACGAGAGACAAAAGGCTGCAAGTCTGGTCTCAAATATAGAGTCATGGCTTAGAAGTAGCACCCGGGTGCAATAATAGGAATTATAGATGTACGGGAGTTCAGACTGGGAAAACCGGCCGTAGGAGGTGAGGGAAGTTTGAGCGAAGGGGACGGTGAGCCCCCCTAGCCCGGTTGGTTCTATGACACTGTTCAAAGGGATGAGACAGTTTATTGGAAAAAGCATGACCAGGTGTTACTCCAACAACAACATCGTTCCCGATGATCAAAGCTGGCAAGCGCATTTCACCAATCAAACGTGACGAATTTGTCAATGAGGGCACGGAAAGAACTTGAGCTAAGACAGAGTTAATAGAGGATCTGCAAAGCTGCATGCCTAGATCTGAGCCATGTTCGTTCCACGGACTGTGCCGAGGTTTAGCATCGACTCGTCCATGACGATCTTTTGATACTAAACTATGGAAATAAGCGCGAATCAACTGGGCGTCCGCAAGTTTGTTGTCACCTATGCTGCTCCTGGACGAGCTTATTAGTTCTCCGAAGAGGTGATTGGGCACTTGAACGTATAGCATAGCGAAATTAGACGTCATAACAAGGGCGCAATACCACGAGCGTTGCCGACGGAAGTCCTTTGTCCCGCGCGATAGTCTGAACACTACTCCCTTTTCAGACAAGACTACCTGAGAGAATGCTGATATTGGACAGCCACTGCATGGATGCTGCGTGCGTGGCGGACAGGAATAGCATGTCGGTAATAGTTTGGAATCGTTTTTAGCACACGGCCAGGTTCTTTTGTCGTGCCCTCCCGATCCCCAGACATGTTATTGCGGAGTACATATCCGGGGAAAGTACAAGCTCAATAGGTACTATAGTGTCTAGTGGTTACGCTTCAGCGCCGTTGACGACGCCATTCCCGCGGACCGATACGCTACACTCGGGATCAAATCTTCCCGCATAGCCGTTTCCATGTCGCTACCACTACTAAATATTCCCCGGGAAGAGTGCGTCGACGAAGTGTCGTGGGCATTTATTTTGGAACTATGTCATCATTCCGAGATTTGTCTCTGTTAAATGTAGTCCAACGGACTATGTCATTCAAATATATTGGTTATAAAGTCACCGTCTTCTCATCACCTCAAGCCTTCGTCGTCATCCAGAGATTCTCTAGCTGTTTCTTTGGCCTGATTTTTCTTCACAACTTCACATAACACGGATACTTACTTGCTGCTTATTTGCAATGAGGTATCAATGTACATTGCCAGCCTTGCTGGCCGCCTCAGCAGCCGCATTTCCATCTATGGCAACAAAGGAAGATCTTGAAATTTTGATCAAGCGCAACGCAGAACCTGAAGCCAACCCCGAGCCACAGATCCTCGGCGGAATCATCGGCTCACTCACCAACACCATTACCGGACTCCTCGGCGCTGTGGCTCAAGGGGCATTAAACCCTGCAAACAAGCGTCCCGAACCAGGCTACGACTTCATTGCACCTGGCCCCAATGATAGCAGAGGACCCTGCCCGGGTTTGAATCTGCTTGCGAATCACGGCTACCTGCCTCGTGACGGCCACGTCAACCTGGGCCAAGTAATTGAAGCCACTGCTCGCGGGTTCAACATGGGTCCTGATTTGTCAACTATCCTCGGTGTTTTTGCTGTCCTCACGGACGGAGATATCGCAACTGAGTCTTTCTACTTGGGATCTGGCCCAGGGAATGTTGGCGGATTGAACAGGCACTCAACAGTCGAGGTGAGACTATGAGTTGAATTCTGGCTCGTGAAATATGTCTAACCTCCCTCTTAGGCCGATATTTCACCTAACCGAGAAGATTTCTACAACGGATGTGGCGATGCTCACCACCTTTCATCCCGTCTGTTCAAGCAGAACGTTGACATCGTAGCGAAGAGCGGAACGAAGCAGTTTGATCTGACCAACATGGGTACACAATACCAACAACTGTCCATGTTCTCTCAGAAAAACAACCCTTACCTCTACTACTTCCCTTTCCCCTTGATCGTCTCTCTTGGGGCTTTTGCCTTCTACCCTAACGTCAGTTCCTTCCTTCTCTCTAATTCTCTAGTAGCTACTAACATCTGGCGTCCAAGTTCTTCAGCAATGGCACCTATGGACTAGGAGGTGTTGCCAATTATGAGTCCATCTCCTCTATTATCGGAGCCAAGTACGACTCCGCCACGGGGGAATTCCAGTACGTACCGGAAACATGGCCCGCCAACTGGTACCGTCGTGCAACGCCGTACACTGCAGTTCAGACAGTGCTGGAGGGTCTCCTCATCTACCTCCGCAACCCTGTTACTCCGGCTGTTGCGCAGCTTGGCACAGGAAATCTGAATGCCACAACTCTGCTGTGTGATGTTTACCAGGGTATCAATTCACTGGTGCCACTCTTCGTCGCCGGGACTACGGAGCAGGTGGCTGCCGCGACTACATGGGCTATTTCCAAGCTTGACCCCTACTTCGGCAACACCGTTCTCGGTTGCCCAACCAGCGTTCTCTCTCCAAACGGCCCTAGCATCTTGTTCCCTAATGCCAACCAGCAGGGCGGTCCGCTCAATCCCCCTCCCAGTGTGGCCAAGCATATTGGCAACAACGTATACTACAAGACGTACTTTACTTCGGCACCGGTAACACCGGCGTGCTGAAGTATCCACGACAGAGCATGCAGGAGAATAGTTCTTTAATGATTTTGTGCTTCTTCAACGATAAACCCCCTTTCACATTATGTACTCGTAAAAGCGAAAGGATCCTAATAAAAATATCTTGTATTTTCTCTTTTCCCATTTGAAAATACAAGGATATCATGCTGTGTACTGAGGTGGTTGCACCCAAGTCCCGTCCCGAGGCCTCGCCTGACCTCGTACAAGATTATTAAGCGATGTTGCCAGTATGACAATATCGTGATGTTACAATTAGCTGAAGAACTGCGTGGGACTCTTTGTTGTAAAGATAACTTTGAACCTGCCCGATCGAAAACTGGCTATGCTTTCCGACATATGAACATGAGTCAAACCACTAGTCAAGAGCCAATGTTTGCAGGAGGGCGATGCGACGTTGAGAGGTAAAGGCCCTTTTTCGATACACAACAACAGCTCTACTTTTGTTTGACACTCAGGATGAAGACAACGAACAGCTGGAACCCCAGAACAGGTGGGACAGATGGCGGCCAATGCGTTCCAAGTTGAATCGACCCGAGGTAGGGCACATGAATATGGAGATGTACATCACCGGAGCAGCTCGTTGCCGACGGGAATAAATGGATACATTATGCAAATTGTGCAGCTTGTGCCTTTTGACTAAACCAGCACTAACGGGGTGGAACCCGCATCGAAAAACCCTTAACTCTATAAATGCAATTACATGAATGCTCGGGGTCCTCTGCCGTCCCGTTTCCCAATTGGTGACCTTAAAACGGACAATCGGTAGACAAAGTTTCCGTCTGCATTCCGCCCGTAACCAGCCACAATCCTAGACTGATTAGCCTTAATCAGTCAGTTAGTTGTCAGATCCAAATGAGACGCCAAGCATGGCTCACGATGATTCATCCGCGCTAGCAGGGATTCTTGCGTCAAAGGATGACTGGCGCTACCCTGAGTCGCTGATGGAGATCCCGAAAGTGAGCGCTTCCCAGGTCTGCCCCTCCCCTGGAAACCCCCTCCTCCCTCCCAGGCGCGCCAACACTGTCTGGTACTTATGTTAGTGACGACTGGTATATTTCGTCGTCGCGACTCATAGAGAGGAGGTGTTTCATTTACCTATGTGGCGGTACATGAGTATATACAACGGAGGGCCGTATTGAACTATTCGTGATTGAACCCTTACTTGTTGCAGACTAATCAAGATATTAATCATCGTCTGCTATTCTACCACAACTAAGAGCCTGAAGGTGACTATGCTGATGTTGGCAAACCAGTGCATGGATATAGAATGAGCCATGTTGAATCACGCGTGCATTGTTATCATTACGATCGCGCTTAATTTGTGATCTTGTCTTGTAACTCAATAAGTGCCAAAGGGCTATTACAAAGGTGCCGCGACGTTATAAGCAGCTTCATGGAATACATTATAACTGATCGAGGGTTTCATTTATCGATTATTCCACGAGAATATCCGACCTACCCAGCGCGCCCATTCATCCACCATGAGCTCAGTAACGGAGGCGAAGCCCGGTGAGGCGTTACTGCTCAATATCCTTGCGCATAACACTCTTAAGCGCTTCGGTCTCAGCCTCTTGACGGAAGAGGCGGATTCGTAAATCGTCCCTTTCCCGAGTCATCTCCTTCAGTAATAATTCCAGTTCGTCGATGCGATCAACCTTCTTTTGTCTGTACTTGCGAGCAGCAATCGTGTTTCGCTGACGGCGCAGGATCTTGTCGGTATGAGGAGTGGCCACCTCTAGGTCCTGAGCTTTGTCATTCGGAGAGGACCGGTGAGATAACTCAGCCCCCGAAGCAGCAGTATACACTGACATATCCAGGGGCAGAGGCTGGTTCGGGCTGTTGGAATTGGAATTGGAACTAGAGCTGGACTCAAAGAGTGCATCCAGCTGAACCGGGAGGAAGGTGTCGGAGAAGGTGTCGAAAAAGGCGGGTGGTGAGGTATCGAGGAAGGCAAGTGGGAAAGCTGAGATATGTAGTCAGTACACTGGATGTTGAGTCATCGGGTGTAGAGATGGGAGAATATTGTTAGTCTTCTTACACTGATCAATCGGGTTGCCGAGGGGACTGGCACTGATGGGAGGCGTCGCATAGGTAGCAGACGTCCATGGCAGAGTGTCCCAAGGGGGCGGTTCAGAGCACGGAAGGCTAGGATCTATTTGGACAGAGTCTGGGCCAAAAAGCCCAAAGTCTGTACCCGGGAGGCCAGCGGCCGACAACTGAAGTGACTGTTGTTGGTGTTGATGCTGAAGATCATGTGTCAAACCGACCTCGCCAGGAAGACTTGAGTTATCCTGGGCCCATTGCGGCAATAGGTTGGGCTGGCTGGAACCAGACGGTCTCCCGCTGGATCGCGGCCGCGGCGGCTGATGATGATGCGGCGCACATTGTTGCAGAGTGTAAAGGCCCTGTTACCTAGGGCCAGAGGATGACAATGTTGAATAGAGATGGGGAGATTCTCGTCTTGCGAGAATGAAGATGTCGTGGAGAGGAAATAACGCGCTCGATTAACGGTGGGAGACTGACATTTATAAATTCGGCAAAGATCCTGATCAACCTCTGCAGGCGGAATAGGAATGGGTAAGACGCCCGATCTCTGGCGGGTTTACGACGGCTGCAGACGTGGGTTGCCCGCACTGATAACACTAACCTTAACAACGGCAATAGAGGTACGGGTGACCTGGCGTAAGCCCGGTTGAGGTGTGGCTCAGCACGCCTGCAGCAGACAAGATTGTTGCGGGCTAACCGATGTGCTGATCAATAGGCTAGGGACATTGCGAATGGTCTTGCAGCTATCCAGTTTACATAACAAAAGTGGTTCTGCACAACTTAGCATATGCACCAAGACAGTCTGATCGCACAATCCGGGAACAACTTTCTGCCCCGTGATCATTGTTCAAATGAGCCTTAGTGTGACCTCTGATCAAGAAGGGCTGACGAGTTCATTCTGTATGACAAACGCTGCTGCAGCCCAGCCTCAGTAGACTGAAGACGTCACGTCACGCCTTATCCTTTCGAAGACACTCCGACACCTCGTTCATAATAGGATCGAGCGAGACAGATAGCCTACCACAGTGCAGGTAGATCGCGACTGGACCCCCAGTGCTCTGTTTCCCAACTACAGACGAAAGCTGGTAAAGCTGCAGGACGGTCAAAACGGGACTCTTCTGACTGCTCTTTTCCGGACCCCTTGCCAAGTCCCCCCTCATCGGCGTCGTGCAGCTGCATGGGTCGAGCCCGCCCCGAACCTACGGTGAACGGAGCCCATCCGACGGCCGAAAGCCTCTGGCTCTCCGTCTCTCATTTGAGTTGCCCTCACACAATCACACACCACAATCGGAGAATGGATCCCACTCTCCTTGCAGATACGGCGTCGGCGTCAAACTCCTTGTCGCCGCCGGGGGCTCCTCCCAGTCAAGCAGGATCTCTGGAGAGCGAAAATGGCAGATCCTCCATGGCCCACCGTCCTCGCCATACGCGTACCAGCACACCTAAAGTGAGGACAGGTTGTGTCACCTGTGAGTCTTCACCCAGCTATGAGGGAACTGAATAGGTAACTGGACACCGCTTACTCCATGCAGGCAAGTAAGTCAAGTCAGACTTCAAAATTCAACCGCGAGTCTTGTGTACTGATTAATCCTCTAGAAAACGGCACATTAAGTGTGACGAGGGCAAGCCTCATTGCATGAACTGCCTCAAGACCCGTGGTGTCTGTGATGGCTATGCCATCAAGCCGAGGAAGACGAGAGGGAAGGCTCCGAAGGACCTGGAACCCTTGAACCCCGTATCATCATGTCGCCGGGCCAGTCCCCGCCTGCGCATCCGGGAACCCAATGTGAACACCCTCGATTTTGCCGATGATATGCAAAGCGTCTACTTCAACGACTGGAACGAATTAGTTCGCGTCTCACTCGGCGGCGCTCACTTCTCTAGGACCAACCTCTGGACAACCACGATGCCTCAGCTCACCCGCCGAAACTCAGCTCTGCGACAAGCGGCTATGAGCATCGGGGCTATCAGCAGGGCACTGTCTTCGCAGGGCTCCCCTTATGTCGTGGCGAGAAATTTTGGTAACATCGCCAACCTCCTGCAGAGCCCGCACTATCAGAATGCCATTGTCTACTACTGCCAGGCACTTCGTCTACAAGGGCAGGCCGACTTCCAGACTGCCAGCATCCAAGAGGCGGTGCTTTTGTCCATACTCTTCGTCGCATTTGAGGCCTTGCGGGGGAACCGACACTCGGCTCTTCAGCATGTCAAGTTTGGCTTCGTGTTGTTGCAGGAGTTGCTCACCAGCGAGGACTCGGATCATCGCATCTGGAACCTCGCGCCCGACCCTAGACAACTCATTACCGAAATTCTGGATCTATATAACCATCTCGACGTACAAAGTCGCACCGTGCTCAGTGGCCATGTGAAGTCAAGCCGGTCACCGGCCTACGAACTCATCAAAGGCCTCAAAGCCAGAGGCCATACTATTGAGACGTACAACATGCAGATACAACGCTATACTGACCCAGGGGAAGGAAGAAAAGCAATGCCGGAGGTGTTCAGCAACGCTGAAGACGCATACTTTTGGTGGCAAACCTGCCAGCGACGAATCGCCAAGCTTGGTCCTCTCTTGCTGACTGTCATCGACGATCTCAAAGTTGAGGAGATCAATGATGAAGCCGGCATCGACCAACTACTCGAGATGATGCAAAACCAGCCTGAACTGCTAGCGTACTGCGAAAAATCGGTCGCAAATCTTCAGCAGTGGCGACACGCTTTCGAGCCGCTCTACAACAAGACATTGTCCGACAAGAATATCTCACGTAAAGAGTATCTCAAGATCTTGCATCTTCGTATGCACTACCTCGTCATGTTTCTATACAGCTTCTTTCCCAAATACGCCGACGAAGCTACCATCGCGTCCATGACACCGTACTGTCGAGAGATTAACGACGTCATCGAGATCCTGCTTCGTGAGCAGCAGAAAGACTTCAAGA